GCCTGGCTAAGGCTTTGTCAGTTTTGTTTACCTTCTCAAAGAACCAGAACTTAGTTTCTCTTTGGATGATCTATCCATTGATGTAAGTGGGGTGTTGAGGTCTCCTACTATTATTGTGTTGCTGTTAATTTCCTGGTTGATGTCTGTTAATATTTCTTTATGTACCTTGGTGCTCCTGTGTTAAGTGCATATATATTCACAAGTGTTATGTCCTCTTGGTGGAATGTCCCTTTTATCATTACCCACTGCCCATCTTTGTCTCTCACTGCCTTTTTATCTTGAAGCGTGCATTGTCTGATATAAGTATGGCAACACCTGCTTTATTTGATTGCCATTTACTTGGGAGTATCACCTTCCACCCCTTCCCTCTGAGCCTGTGTTTCTCTTTAGCGCTGAGATGTGTTTCCTGGAGGCAGCGTATTTTGGGGGGTCTTGTTTTTTAATCCAGCCAGCCACTCTGTGTCTTTTGATTGGAGAATTCAATCCAGTTACATTTAGAGTGATTATTGATATATGAGGGCCTAATACTGCCATTTTATGTCTTGTTTTCCAGTTGCTCTGTATTTCCCTTATTTCTCATCCCAAGTATTTCTGATTGCCATTTCAGTTTGGTGATTTTCTCTGATGGTTTTCTCATTATTTATCAGGTTGTGCTGTTATTATTACATTTCTCCTAGTGTTCAATGTAACTTTAAATTATCCCTGGCCATCTTAGTCCTGTAACAAGATTTTACAGGACCTAGGGCCATAATTTTTAAATATAAACCCAGCTGGGGTAACGGAAGCTGGGTGATCAGCAGAAGCTTCACACGTTGAGCTTGTGTGAAGTTGATCTTTCACAATGGGAACCTGCCACTGAAAAACCTTACTTGCTGCGACAAGAATAGGAATAGGTGGTGGGCGTCCAGACAACCATATTGGACTCCTCAACCCTTTAGTGAGGGACCCCTCAGGCAAAAGGCTTTCCCAGACTCTGCCTGAAAGCACGGGAAGTCCTGGATCTGGGAAGACTGATACACATGTCTCTAAACACCGTCGAGGAGCAACTGAGCTCAAGGGCTCCTGCAGGTGGTGAGGTGTTGGTCCTGGACGGTGCAGGAAATGGTCCCTGAGTCACTTCAGATCCCAGTTCTGACACCATGGAATGTAGACAGAAATATCTGCAAAGAGCAACTTTGTCAAAGGAAGGCTTTATTGCATTTGCATGGAGAGTTTGCAAACTGGGAGATGCAGTGTTTGGGGCAAATGGAAAGCACGCCCTGAAGAGGAGGAGGCACCGTGAGGGTTTTCAAAGCTGAAACGGGTGAAGCCACAGGCCCATTCAGCAGTTCCTATGCTGGCTCAGCCTCACCCGGAAACCATGTCCTGTGCTCACTGGCTGCTGGGTTAAGGGGAGGCTGTACTGGGCTGAGTGACCCGGATACAGAAGGAAACACTGGGTTTCAGCACAACTTGATGTTTTCCTGAGAATAGAACATTTGACTGCACCTCCTGGAATGGCCACTTGACTCTGTTTTGTTTTTAGGTCCCAGTTAGCCACACAGAATCCATTTCACTTCTCTGGATTGTTGTTTCTGGAGGTTTCTGATTTTACCTCATTACACACACTGTAGCTACAAGTGGAGTTCAGCCCGCATTTCTGTCCGGCCATATTTTGGGGCCCCAACCTGACGGTTATCGAGCCAAGCTCTCAGGACATGAAACAAGCTTAGTAAGATTTTGCTGGGGTTTTTGGTCAATGTTTACAGCTTCCGGGACCATAGTTTTTAAGGGGGGGTGTCAGAGTGCCATGCCTGACTCTTTAGAAATTAAAGTCCTATGTCTGGTCTTAAAACTGTGGTTCTCAGATCTAGTGCACAAAAAATACACATATTTTGAGAGTCCGAAAGTGTCCCTAAATGGGCACTCTAATTCTGAACTGTCTTTGGTATTGTCAGTCCACCGGGACAAAAATTTACAAGAAAGGACTGGACTCCTCAAACATAAAACCGGTTGGAGCCTCGAGGGAGCAGCCTCAGAAGACTTAGAAAAAGAAATTCCCATAACGACGAAAAGTGTGTAGGCAGAAACAGAATCCTCACCCACTAAGGAAACCCCTCGAGCATCAAGAGCTGCACCCAGCACCAGGGCAGGTGCACCCCAGCTCCCAAGGAAGGCGAGGACCTCGACCCACAGGAAGGAAGTCAAAGCCTGACAGGGCTCACAGTCAGGGAGACAGCAGGGAGCACAAAAGGGCTCGCGTGGGCATCTCAGCGATTCCAGGGGACAGCAGTATGGGATCACGAGGTCATTTAAGATCCCATTTCTGGCACCAGGAATCTCAACCTCAAAGCAAGAAACCAGTTCAAGAGGAAAAGATTCATTTGGGATCAAAGATTTTCAATTTGGGGTACACAGAATTGGGTGGCAGTCCAAATAGTGCCACACCAGGGAGCAAAAGTCAGGGGTTTTTAAGACAAAAAGGGGACATTTGCATAATTTGTTTACAAAGAATCTTGATTGGTGTTGGCGGCAGAAAACGAATGAGGGCTGAAGACGCTCAGGCCCTCACCAAGCAAAGCTCCGTTCCTGCCGCAAGTTCCTGCACCTTGAATGACAGCATCATCCCCGTGTCTGTTCTCAAGGTACAGAGGATCCAGTGAACCTGCCTCATCAGGCCACTATTAGGCCAGTGTCAGTCTCCTGTGGCCAGCGAATCATGGCAGGACGTGACCACCACCCCATCATGCTCCTCTGCTGTTCTCCTCCTCTCTCTGCTCCAGGCACACGGGCCTCTGGCTCTCCTCCTAATATCCAAGGCCCACGCCCTCCTTAGGAATGGCACTGGTCTGCTCGGAACAACGTGCCACAGACCAGGGGGCTGAAACAACAGGAAGTGATTCCCTCAGGGTTCCGGAGGCGGCATTCTGAAATCAGGTTGTCAGCAGGCTGGTTCCCTCTGGAGGTTCAGAGGGAGCATCTGTTCCAGCCACTCGCAGCTTCTGGTGGTTGCCAAGAATCCTTTACCTTCCTTGATTGTAGGCAGGTCACGCCAACCTCTGCCTCTGTCTTCACACGGTGAAGACATGTCTCCTGTGCAGCCCTCTGTATCCAGATTTCCCTCTTTTTATAGGGATACTCACCATTGGGTTAAGACCTGCTCTAATCTACTATGAACGCATCTTGATGACATCTGCAAAGATCTTATTTCCTAATAAGGTCATATTCTGAGGTTCCAGGTGGACATGAAATTCGAAGAGATGCTGCTGAACTCTGTATATGTGTATACAGGTATATATTTTATAATCAATTTAGATATTAACTTCCAGCATTACATAAAATAATTATCTCACTGTTCTACTATTTCCTGGAATCAGATATATATCTGCATACCCATTAAAAAATCTCCAACTCCATCTCCCTCTCATCCCCTCACTGTGCTACTTTTCCCATGTTCGATGAAAGGTCAATGAAATCTACAGGTCGATGAGGTTCTGCTGAATGGTGTCATTTCATTGTTGTTAAGGCACTAAGGTACATGTCCCAGAATCCCTGTCTTCATGATTCTGGGTTAGAATTCACCAATAGCCTCATTCACATCACATTTGAAAGGTGCACATGAAGCAGCCGTTACTCTCAGGGTTTGGACCATAGACATGGAGCAATGCACAGCAGCTTGACAGGCAATAGCTTCCAGCTTATTTTTCTGATCACCAGCCCAGACACTCAAGCATGTACCCAAACCAAACACCAAATTCCCCTTTCCATTTTCTTAGAGGCCCTGGCCTCCAAACATGTGCTCCTGTTCTCTGTAATTGTGGATCAGATTCTAGGGTCAGAGACCCACAGGTGTGGGCTGTGCAAAGCCCCGGTGTGCCCTCCAGGCCCCTGATGGAGGCTGTCACGGTGGTTGAGCTTGACTGACGCTGACTCCCCTCTCTTCTGGATCTTGCCTTATTTGTACCAGATGTTACTTGTACAGTGAACACCCATTCCCTTTATGTTGACAAGATCTGGGGCCTAATTCCACGACGGACACAGCAGTGCAGCCAAAGAAAACGGGGCCTTGTTTCCCTGCTGCACCGTTGAGTGGCTGCACTGCCTGTCCTTCCACATGAGAAGTGAGCACCTTCCTCATGTGTCAGGGACATGGTGGGAGTGTCCTGAACTCGGGGCTGAGAACAGGCCCTCAGGATGTGTTCAGTTATCATATTTATGCATAAATAAAACACTTGTGCACTCAGAAGATTTCACATGTTTCCCAGGAAAGTCCTATTAACGCTGTTTTCAAATCAGTTGTATATTAACAAGTGTCACTCTCTGCTTTTCCTGGGCTGAGAGATTATGTTAAAATGTCTGCATTTACAAGTTGTCCAGTCAGAATTGCAATTTTCTCAACTTAATTCTTAGCATTCTCATGCATTCTTAGTCCATACGTATACCATGTGCATATGCATTTAAATATATTTTCAGGCAAATTTTTTGCTCTTATATACCTAAAACTTTTGTCATTAAACTAACCTATAATTCATTAATAAAAGTAAGATAATGATTGTGCCAAAGCTCACTAGCCAAAGAACAGCAGGATCACACCTGCAGTCACAGAAAGTGGGGTGCACTGACTTAGAGCACTGGGGGTGCACACACCGTGCAGGACTGTGGGAGTGTCAGTAGGAGGGAATATGACACATGGGACCTGAGGACATATTTGGACAGGAATCTATCACACGTTCAGCCTTGTGTGAGATGAGTGGAGTAAGTGTTCCAGCAAGAGTTCCTTCGCTCTGATTTGATGCTGTCAGGAGGTGAAGGTAATGTGGTCACTGGAGATCTCAACAGTTCTTGTCTAGAAAGCAGAAGGAGTGGAGCGCAGCTAAAAGTAGTTGGTGAACAGGCAGCCGTCACATTAGAAGGAAATGGAGAAAGTTTGGTCAGTAGCGTGGTTTGGCTTCCATTCCATTTGTCGCCTTTTTGTGGACCTGATTATAACTTGTTCTTCCTTTTGTCTCAACCCATCACAGTCACAGATTTCCCCCATCTGATGACAGAGCCGGTGAAACTTTCTGCTCAATGTGAGGAAGCCACAACCCAGCAGTGTCAGGCCAGCTTCCAGGTGTCCGAGGCTGCCTTTGCCATTCTCATTGGCTACGTGAACACTGATATATTTCTTTCTGTGCACGGGGACTGTTTCAAATGTCTTCTGTAAAGTGACTAAGGTAACATATAAACCTAGTTCCTCCTCAGCAAACTCTATAAGGTAGACACGTTTATTATCTCCCGGGATGAGTTAACTGAGACTATGAACATAGGTGATTTATCAGAGGCCACCCAGGATCAGATAGGAAGGAAGCTGCCCAGGATCATGACGCAAACCCCGCCTTCCTTTCTCACAGTCCATCCTCTTCCTCTGGTGCTAAATGTTGAGCATCCCTCATAGCCACACACGCGAGGCTCAAAACAGTTAGTCTCTACACTAATCTGGGCACTGCAGGCACTTGCCCATCTGTCTTCCTGCTCTCTGCGACCTTCTCAGAAGCACCTGCTCCCTTGACACTCCCCCAGTGTCACCCCGCCCTGGGCTGGAGTGACTCTGCCAGTCTAGGACCTGTGTATAATAAACTACTTTCCTGAGCCTTCCTCTGCCCCCTCTCTGGCCATACATGACAGGCCATCCTCTCAAGGGACAGAGAACAGGTGCAGAGTGACAGCCCACAAACAGCATTCAGTGGGCATCCTGCCAAACTTCAGAGTCAGATCCTGAGAGCACAAGAAACAACAGGACCACAACTTGATGAGGGAAACACTCTCTGGGTATTCAGAAGGGTAGCTATCTGTAGGAAATGTTTGATTCAAGAATCTCATGGTTCTGATAGGAAAAGGCAAGAGTCCCATGGAAAATGTCAAGTATGAGCTCTGTCCACTGGTGGGGAAATGGCACAGTGTGCTTGTGACCCACACTTTTCATGCTGGTACAGTTTAGTGCAGCTGTCCTGAGCCTCATCAGTGTGTTGGGGTCCCCATAAGCACTGGTCATGTCGACTGGTGAGTTGATGACACCAGAGAGGAGAGTCCATCCTGACAAGGGTTGGAAGCCCTTAGGTACAGGCTTCCTCTCTGGAAAGGCTGTAAAGATACCTTTACTGACCATTTCCTCTCTCAGGTCCCTGGAGGAGTAGTCACCTTAAACATCCTCTGAGACATAGAGCCCCAGCCAGGCCCGCACAAAATACAGGACATCCACCATGCCCAGGGCCAGAGAAGGATCCCTGGAGACCATCTGACTCAGGAGAAACTGACCTTTGTCCCTGGAGGCACAGCAACAAAATTGTAAGTGGTCAGAATGAAGAGAAAACGCATGGTCCATTTCTCATCTAGTGGGAACAACACAAGAGAACATTCCTGGGCAGGAGCATCATCAATCAATTACCCACCTGTCAGACAGACAAATGGCCAGCAGATATTCAGCACAATTTCTAAAAACAATAAGACAGGGAGAAGATGTTTCCACTCCAGTATCAACTACCATTAAACCACTGAGTTATTTGGAGAACAAACATTTAGAAGCAGCATTTCCAGGAATTAGTAGTTTACTCAAGTTGGTTATGCCCGTAAACTGGAGGTCCCTCTCCTAACTCATTCCCACCCAAACTAAGTGCTCACCTCACCAAGAACGCTGGTGGTTCTACTTGTCCACAGACAACTAGGGAAGATGTGTGTTCAGTTCTGCCTCCCACACTGCTCATCTGCAGGAGCCTGACTCCTGGGGACCTCTGGCTGGAGACTACTGACATGAGGAACATTTGGGTTTTCACCATTAGGAATGAAGAAATGATTTTAATGAAAAGACGTTGGTAGCAGCATATGAAGTTAAGAAAAACAAACCAAAAAGAAAAATATCAAAAGGCATATGTATTTAGCACTATTATCCCAGGATATATACAGAAGAACAGGCACAATTACAAGAATAAATTATCCTCCAGAATGGGATAGTTTAACATAACCTCAAATTTAATAAAACATAACACTTGTAAGCATACAACAGACTTGAAAACCTAGGGAATGAGCTTTCGAAGAAACAACGTAGAGAGCTATTTTCCTGTTGTAAGTCACATATAAAAAACGAAAGAAGTAAGCACTCGGAAATTACATAGAAAAATGGAAAGAAATTAAACATACAGGGTTTAACATTTAGATAGCAGTCAGCCGTAAGAGAAACTCACAAATTCAAATACATTTGCAAATGCTGCTTTCAATCATGGAAGTATCCAGAAAGAAGAAATGCCGGATTACTGAAGCCTTGCAACAATGCAACCAGGGAAGTAACTTTATGCTATATGTGGCTACAGCATTGAATCTGTGAGGGTGGAGGCAGGAAACAGATCCACTATTAGAGAACAAGATGCTTCCCACAGAATTCATGTCATCAGGAGAAGCATTGGAGATGGAGGGGGTCAAGAATGAGAGACTGCCACAAAGTGTGACAGCCTGAAGTGGCCTGATGCACACCAACGAGCTGCAGGAAAATGCAAGTAAATGTGTGAACCTGCAAACCAAAGAGGCTCCATGATGGGGGAGCTTGTAGGAAAGTCTGTGGAACCTGCTGCCTAAGAGGGAGCTGATGTCAAACATGGTGTTTGGTTGGGGCTGTTCCAGACGGGCAGAGCCAGAAGTCAGAAAAGTGTGCTGTGAGGCAGGCCTCCTAGGGTCCCAGGCACCTCTGTCTCCTGACAGGACAGGAGAACTGAGACTCACGGATTCTCCACTTCTGCTATCCAAACCTCATGTGTCTTCCTCTGCTCGTGAACTTTAACTCAGAGCCACACACAGAAGGACTTTCAGATAGTTTCCCACCTTCCGCAAGGTGACAGCACAGTTCAGTAGAAGCCTCTGGACACCAGCTCCATCTTCATGCCACAAGTTTCTCTTCTGAACTCAATTTATCATGTCCATTTCCAAACAAGTTCATGAACAATGGGCAAAGTCATATTATGAACATAATCACATGGGACTGTCCCCTTCCAAGAGCTTTCCACAATACTACTTCATGTTAGAAACAGATGTGGTATTCACTAACGAGAATGAAATGTGCACTATACATCTTTCCATAAGAAAGATTGCAGAGGCAAACAGATATTCAGTCAGAAAAGCTGCAACAGTTGGCCAGATGTGAAATTTCAAGAATACAAGTGTAGCATCATGAATATACACTAGGAACACAAAGAAAAGTGAGAATTGAAAAATTTTCCTCTAAAATTATATCAAATTGCACATGACTATACAAAAAACAAAAACCACTTATCCCTGGGTCCAAAACATGTTGTAATATAAATAAGACGAGTGTACACACCTGTACAATTACTTAAGGTCCAAGGTGATGAAATATGTAGTAAGATGATGCATAAATAGACAGATATTTATTATCTTCAGTGTTCATATCAGCAACATGACCTGGAAATCGGTACACTGGGGGTCCCTAGTAAGGATGACACACTTATAAAGATGAAGCCACACAAAACAATCAAAAGGTCTCTTTCCTGCCCTGAGTTTTCATGAAGAAAATAAGTGAACTACTACACTTGAACGTTGCCCCACAGTCTTTCCAGGCCTAAGCAATCTCTCCAGTGTGTTTGCTCACATTTGCCACAAAGTTTCAAGCAGAGTGAAGGCTCTCCCTCAGTCCGTGGATTCAGATTTTACTCTCCAGTGTGTTCTCACAGGAATCCAGGATATGTGTGAGCTTTCCCACATTACTGACATTAATACCCCTCTGCCCATCGTGGGTTCTCAGATGACAGTGAAAATGTTGAGGCTGCATGAAAGCCTTCCCACAGGGCTGACATTCATAAGGTCACTCCCCACTGTGGCTTCTGGCATGCTCTTGAAGGTAGTAGTGACGACTGAAGGCTTTCCCACATTGCTGACACTCATAGGGCCGCTCCCCACTGTGGGTTCTGGCGTGTCGTTGAAGGTCAGCGTGACGAGTGAAGGCTGTCTCACATTCCTTACACGCGTAGGGCCTCTCCCCACTGTGCCTTCTCACGTGTACGTGCAGGGATGCAGAATCCTTGAAGGCTTTGCCACACTGCTTACACTCATAGGGTTTCTCTTCACTGTGAGTTCTCACATGTCTTCGACGTGAGGAGGAACACCTGAAGGCTTTCCCACACACCTTACATTCATAGGGTTTCTCACCACTGTGAATTCTCACATGCGTTTGAAAAGTTTCAAGCAGCTTGAAAGCTTTGCCACATGGCTCACACTCATAGGGTCTCTCCTCGGTGTGTGTTCTCATATGTCGTCGGCAGGAGGAGTGAGAGGAGAAGGCTTTCCCACACTGCTGACACTCATAGGGCCTCTCCCCAGTGTGTGTCTTCACATGTTCTTGGAGGGATAAGGTATAACTGAAGGCTTTCCCACATTCCTTACATTCATAGGGTTTCTCACCACTGTGAATTCTCACATGCCTTTGAAAATGGTGAGGCTCCTTGAAAGCTTTCCCGCAGTGCTGACATTCATAGGGTCTCTCCCCAGTGTGTGTTCTCTTATGTCCTCGAAGCGAGGACCGAAAGGTGAAGGATTTCCCACACTGCTGGCACTGGAAGGGTCTCTCCCCACTGTGCAACCTTGCATGTGCTCGGCGGGAAGAGGAACTAGTGAATGTTTTCCCACACTCCTTACATTCATAGGGTTTCTCCACAACGGCTGTTGGCACATGAGTGCTTAGGCACGAGACACAACTGCGGGCCTGCCCACATTCCTCACAGGGATGAGGTTTGTGTCCAGTGTCAGATCGTTGCTGATTCTTAAGGAAGGATAAATCCATGAGGGCATCTCCACACTCTGTGCACTCTTCCGGTGTAACTCCAGTCGGACACCTCTCGGGCACAGGAAGGTTTGTAATCTGGTTCAGGGTTTCTCCACAGTGACCACCTTCACTGCTTCCGTGGAGACTCTCCAGCAAAGGACTCCTGTTCAAAATAGGAAGCACACTGTGAGGGATTGATGGTTATAACTGATTTCTTAATGATGACTTATTTACAGTTCTTGATTACTTTGACTATTTGTCATTTTCAGTAAATACGTATGTTCTCAGCATTGTCTATAGTTTCACAAAGTAACACAGGCTCAATGCCCAGACTGAGGACTCAAATAAAGCCAGAACTTTCAGTGGCTATTACACCTGGGGCTTCCAGATTATTCTTTCATGAGACGCTCAATATCTACATCCCGTTGAGGAAAATCTTGTCTTGTGAAAGTTTTGAGGACACAACTGTCTAGCTAGGTTTCTAGTTTTTCCTTAACATCAAGTCAGTCTGACATTGTGCTGAGACCCCCTTCGTCCTGCAGGAACACCACTCACCTCAAACAACTCTCCTGGGTTTGGTGCTGATCTTCAACGCTATGCAATGGCCAGTTTTCTCCAAAACCAGACCAGGAATCACTTCCTCTGAATCTTACTATTTTCTCCTTACTGAATAATTTATGCTTCAAAATATCCTGCTGAGGACTTGATCCGCTGGCTTTAACTTGAGTGAAACAATCTGCAACAATTCGTAGCATAATTTAATCTCTTGGGAAAGGAATGTTGGGATGAAGAAAAGACAAGAGACCATATGTGGAGTTCCTGCCATACAGTGATCCAAAAACGTGACCAAATGTTATAAGGAAGAATGGAGAGGTGAAAAAAGAAAAACTCTGAGGACCTCGGATATCAGTGACCTAGGCAGAGTAGAGAAATTAGTCAAAATGGCGGACTGTTCACTAAGAAATACTTCAAAACAAATGGAGAGGGATATGGAGATAAATATTATCAGAAGAGCAAAGTACGAAGGAACTGGGCAAAGGCAGACCCCCCCAATGCTCCCTGTATAAGAGGAGATACAGACGGGGGGCAAGAAGGGATGACAAGTCAGCAGGGAAGCCAGGTAAGTGACAAACGTCACCCTTCTCAAACAGTGGCTGAGTCCCATTTCTAATGGACGTGTCCAAACATCATTCCCTCCTCCAGAGCCTGTTCCTCCCGAGGGTGGCTGCTCCCCTGGTGTGCGCAGGCACACGGACCCAGACGGAGCCTGTGTCCACTGCCTCAGCTGCCATGGGAGATGGATGGTGTGTGCGGCTGCTGATGGCTCACGGGGAAGAGCTGACCGAGAGGGAGGACGGAGGGGAACAAATAGTCCATGAGACGGGGCCATATGTTGGTCCTCAAAGCCAGTGAGGATGGATAAGTGCCAGGTTAATTGCAGCAAAATGACCATGTCAACTGTGTATTAACACAGTGTAACTGGCACAGGGGTGGAAACCACAGAGCTGCACCAAAGGGACACTGGAGACTATATTCATGCTTATAATATTAGGACACCTCCAACTTTTGTTCAGGAGTAATAAAAAATCCATTTAATCCATGAAACCTTGTATTTGTGGAAAAGCTGTTTGACTCTAGGTGGTTCCATGGAGGCTTGCACTATGTCTCTTTTTTCCAACATGTTCCCATTTCCTGGCCCCAATAAAAAAGGACAAGTGCAAGAAACACCTGTTCCCTCCCAGACTCAGTGAAGGCGTGAAGCCGTCCTCACCCACGGAGGCCAGGTTCCTGCAGGTCTCCAGCATCACGTCTCTGTAGAGCTTCCTCTGAGCACCATCCAGCAGAGCCCACTCCTCCGGGGTGAAGTTCACAGCCACATCCTCAAAGACCAGCGAATCCTGAAACAGCCCACACGTTCTACTTCAGCCAGGCCCCATCTGCACCAAGGGGTGTGGGAGGGTGACAGCCGGGGACCTGGACTCAACTCCTAGGACTCCTGAGCTCTCACTCTCGTTGGAAATGACAATAAAAATGCAAGTGGCATGCAGTACACTCAGCGATGGTAAGTGCTTGGAAAGCTGCAGCAAAGTGCAACCACAACAACTGACAGAGACTCATACATGCACAAATCTAAGAATTAAGAATTATGTGTTCTTTTTTTTTATTTTTTTATTTTTTTTAAAGATTTTATTTTTTTCCTTTTTCTCCCCAAAGTCCCCCAGTACATAGTTGTATATTCATCATTGTGGGTCCTTCTAGTTGTGGCATGTGGGACGCTGCCTCAGCGTGGTTTGATGAGCAGTGCCATGTCCGCGCCCAGGATTTGAACCAACGTAACACTGGGCAGTGTGCAGAGGAGCGCGTGAACTTAACCACTCAGCCACGGGGCCAGCCCCAAGAATTATGTTTTCTGAGATGGAATAGACTCTGAGGTAAGGTAAAGACTGAAAAATGAAATCATCTTTCAGGTAAAATGGAATTGGTTTCGTGGCTTGATCGAAGTTACATCCTTGTCAGCTCCAGAACTGGAATGAGAATGTCGATGTTCTGAACCCTGGGACCTGCAGTGCGGCTTGAGCCGAACAATCTCTCCTTGGAGGCAACAGTGTTGAGGGGCCTGGACTCCTCCCTACATGGCAACGGAGGCAGAGACATGACCCCTCCCAGGACGAGGTGGACACTGTGGGCAGAGGTGTGAGCCAGGCCCTGGGACACCTGCTGGATAAGAGGAGAGCCTGTTTCCTGAAGACTCTGGGAAGATGGAAAACCTCTCAAATAACTAATCAAGTCCCCAGAATTCCAGGAAAATGGTCACACAAACAACAGTCATTGAAGGATGTGAAAGCAATAGAGGCAAATGGGACTTTAGCCAAGAGAAAAAATACCTAAATGACTTTAGAATGCTCTGTGATGACACCACACACATGGCATAAAGAGCACTATGAAATCTAAAGATAAAACTCCCAGCTGCATCAGCTGCAGAGAAGGTCAGGCCACCTCATCTAGCGCAGCACCTGGGGTTTGCCAACCACACACCTGACAGGAGGCTCGTGTTCTCACCGTGCTTAAAGAACTCAGATCACAACCATAAAAAAGAGACAACAATATAAAGAGAAACGCTATAATTAAATAATGGGCAAGAAATGTGAGCAGACCCGTCTCCAAAGAAGAAACAAGAATGGCCAAGATGACATGAGCAGAGGCTGGCCCTCAGCCAGCAGGGAAATGCAAATCAAAGCTACAAGCAGACCCCTGTTCATTCACTGCAGAAATGGAGCAAGTGCTGGCGGGACGTGAGCAAGGGGGAAGCTCAGCCATCGCTCACGGGCATGTAAACGGTGCAGCCACTTTGGAAGACAGTCTGGCGGGTCCTCAGGGATGAACGTCTGGTAAAGCCATGCATTCCCTCTATTTCCATACCCAATACTTGGACGTTAGTTACATTGCAACAGCTTTTAGGAAATATCAATTGGATACGTCCTTTTCTGGCATCCCGACACATTCTCTGAGTCACTTGTTTTCCTTGCTACGTGGTGACTCTTCCCCCTCTTTTACATGCACTCTTACCCCTGAGTCAAAACAAGAACTAAGCCTGGTAAACAAGGCTCTAACCTCCCAATTTTTAAATCGCTTTGATCCAGAAATTCCCTTATGCCTTTATGTGATAAACACACCTAAAAGTCCTACTGGTATCATCTTTCAAAAAGCGGGCAAGGTTATAAAATGCTTGGAATGGATATGCTTGCCCACACACCTCCTAAGGGACTCTACACATATTTTGATGGAGAGGCGGAACTTATCCAAAAGGGACGTTTACGATGTTTACAATTACGAGGCGCTGATCCTCAGGTTATCTTTTTACCTTGCACGTCTTCTCAATTTGATCATGTTATGATGACCAGTTCACAAATACAGATGGCTTTGCAATCTTATATGGGTGAGATTTCTTTTAAATCCCTGTCCCATCCGCTCTTTCGTTTTTGTACACAAACTCCGCTTACCTTCTCCTCGGTTATCTCTTCCCAACCTATTCCTGATGCCTTAACTGTGTTCGCTGACGGCTCCGGAAAAACCGGAAAAGCTGGTGTAGCTTGGTTTGCTAATAACGACTGGCAGACCAAAGTCTCAAACTGCAGAATTGGCAGCTGTGTATCTAGCCCTGTGCACCTTTCCTTCTGTTCCTTTGAATATTCTTACAGATTCCGCTTATGTAGCTAATGCTGTCCCGCTTTTGCCCTCCGTTTTAAACTTTCATCCATAAAACTGGCATCCCCTATAATTCTACGGGACAAGCTATTATTGAGCGATGTCATAGAATGCTAAACGCTGCTCTACAAAAAATGAAAGGGCGAAATGAGTATTATAAGAATGATCCGCAAGGTATTCTCAATCATGCCTTATTTATTTTAAATTTTTTGAATCTAGCAGAGGATGGTACATCAGCTGCAGAAAGATATGTGGGTCAAACTCAGAACCACATGGCCCAACAGAGGCCAGCATTACACACATCTGTTTCGACACAAAATCTTGGCAAAGTGTGGATTAAACGTCCTTATACGGATATCTAGGAGGGCCCTTTTATGGTTAAATGTGGGAAGAGAGGAGCTCTTTGTGTTTTGATGGATAAAGGCATTGAGTGGATTCCATCAAAACGTGCACGGCCTGCTCTGGAATAACCGGAAAATGGACAAACGGATAAGTAAATCAGTTTTTTTCTTTTTCCTCTTTTCTTCTCTAATGCATGTTGAGGTGATTTCAGAGCATGAGAATCTCACATATTGGGCCTTTATTCCTAATCCTCCTCTCTTTACTCCGGTTACTTGGTGGCATGCCCCCTTTGTCCTTTAACGAGTCTGAGTGGACAGGAGGAACTGGGGTACCCCGACAACAGCATACAGGCCTGCACCAAAAGGAAGAAGAACCTCTGGTGATGTATGCTAATGATTCACCTTTTTGTATGGTTTATCAAAACAAAAGTACAACATGTGTCACCTTTCAGGAACAAATGTATTTGTATTACCAACCTAAGAAAGGACAAGAGGCAGCCAATCTAACGTACATTACTGCTATATCAACATCTTACAAAGACAAACGTAACGTCACACAAGTTCCTTTCGTCCCAATTTGCCGTCCAAAAACTGATTGGTGTTACAAACATTACTCAGTACCGTGGTCCCCTTGCCGTACAGCATATCCAAGGCGGGGCAACATCTTTGGGGCCAACACGCTGGATCGGGACCTCATGGACGTCTTTTGAGTGACAATCATACTTGGGCCTTCAACAGATCAAGTCAGAAACCTATGACAGGCAGCGAACACAGCCTATGTGGACCCCTTCTACAACTATCTCACAGTGAGACAGTGTGCAGCCCCCTCACAAAGGAATATGGAGGGTCGGGTTGCCTTTATATCACGACAATTGTCCCATGGTAAATATGAGAATGCAACTGGCGATTATTCACTGACTCTGATTCGAAATGTTTCTGATACCGTTATGATCTGTACCACCCATCCTTATGTGTTATTATGGGGAAAAAATGTCCCCACTATCGAAGAATCTTCTAGTATGTATGTAGTTAATATTTCTCCCCCATATTGCTATCCTGATTGTTTAGCACATTATAAAGTAACCTCGTTAAATGTGACTTACGTAATGGTGTTAAAAAGAAGAGCACACATTTGGTTACCTGTTTCTTTGAATAGAACATGGTCTGAAGAACATGCTTTACATATTCTCCTTGAATCCATGAAGAAATTACGCCATAAGCGGTTTCTGGCTACACTAATTGCGTTCACTGTGTCCGCGGAGATTATCATTACATCGGCTGCTATGGCTACTACTGCCTTGGTTAACAGTGTTCAAACAGTCCATAAGGTGGAGTCCGTCTTGGTAAATGTCACTCAAGAATTATAGACACAGGCGGATATTGATAAAGGGCTAATGTCACGATTGCAGGCATTAGAGACAGCAGTCGAGTGGCTGGGAGAGCAGCAAAATGCATTAAATATGCGTATGAAACTAAAATGTGACTGGCAATTTTCCATGCCATGCGTTACCCCCCTACCATCTAATAGCTCGCTGACATCTTGGCAAGAAATAAGAAAACATTTACAGGGGGCATTTAATACCTCCCTGGCCAATGACATCACTGGGCTACAAGCTCGGTTAGAGAGGCAGTTACAAGAAGTACATAAGCTGTTCCCTCAACAAATATTTCAAGGCACTGAAAATGGGTTACACTGGCTAGAGCCCTCCAATTGGTTCTCGGGCCTCAATTTATGCATATTTGTTAATGCTGGTGTGATTTTGATATTATCCATGTTAATAGTTTATGTTTTACGTCTGCCGTGCTCCCTGAAAAAACAACAAAGTCAACAAGAGCAAGCATTGGTTATGATGGGCCTTCTGGCCTCAGCACAACATGATGCCTTCCTTGCTTTAAAAAACAAAAAAGGGGGAAATGTAACCGCCCCTGATGCAGGAAGGGTTAATAATCACTGGAAAAGGCTTGCCAACAAACTGTGACCTGGAGGTGAGAAGGCTGGTTAGCCAAAGAAGGGTAAGACCTCCAGGGGGAGGCAAGCTAAGACAGGCACAGCTGCCCAGAGCACAGATGGAGACAGGACACCGGGAGCAGGAGGGGCCGTTGCCTAGGAGACCTTGCATGCTCAGAGATAAGAACCCATGAGCACAGCAAAAACGTGATAATATCAAAACAGAGGCCGAGGGAGGGCTCCTTGAGAAATCACTAAGAATTCTTGGCATCCGCTAATTACTTTGTCCAGAACACATGTGTATGTTTAACAGATGTAAGCTGAGTATATGTGGAAACGCTGGTTATAATAAACTCAGAGTGGCCATCAGTCCTCTCCGCATCTATTCTGGTGTGCACATTGGATCGCGACACCGACACCCGGGGGCAGCACGCTGGGAGATGCCACCACCCAACCAAGAAAATAAAAGCCTTACACCTTCATGTAACACAACAAAAGTCCAGGCGCTGGGGCGCCCTGGGGTCACAGGGCGCAGACCCCGTCAAGGACACACCGGGAGGAGCAGCGCGGTGGGAGCAGCGCAGACCAGCACCTGCTCCACAGCGACAAGGACACGGAAGGCAGGAGGTGGAACCTGGTCCTGAGCTGGGCGGGGTCCCCCTGCGGGGAGGTGGGCAGGCGGCCCCTCCCAGGGCGGGAGGGACAGAACCCGGGGCTGCGCTCAGCCCGGCTCCCTCCTCAGGGCGGACGCGCCCCTCCTCCCGGGCCTCCTCCTCAGCAAAGAGGAGCCGCTCCCAGCTCCCGCTCCGCCCCGTATAGACGCTCCTTTCACGGACCCTCTCACCAGCAGGGACCCCCGGGAGCCCGCCCCACGTGTGACCTTCACCGACTCACTCAGCGCGCAGCACACTCGGCTCCACCGACCCCACGCGCGATGCCGCCCGCCTGCCTGCTCCCCTCCTGCCCGGCAGAGGAAAGCCCTTTGCTGGGGGGTTCGGGGCTGGAGGACCTGAGAGGCGCCCTCGGCCCCGTCCCACCGTCTTCGGATCAGAGTCTGCGGCCCCCACTCCGGACGGGGCTCAGCGTCAGGTCAGGGCGGGCCCACCCCGCGGCCGCCCCACCGCCCCACCGCCCCAGCCCTGACCGCCGGCCGGGGTCGTCCCGTCCCCTCGGACCCCGCCCGTCCAAGGACTCGGGTGGGACCGGGACGCCCATGCGGAGCCGGGACGGGACACCAGGACCCACCCCGCGGCCGAGGGCGGGGACTCGGGGGACCCCGGGGGGCGCAGGGAGACCCGGGCCCGCGGCCGCTTCCAGCCGGTTCCCGCCGGTTTGAACCAGCCGCTCCGGGTCCCGGCCCGGCCCGCGCACTCACCATCTCCGCCTGCTCCGGACCCTCCGCGCGTCCTCCCCGCGGCCCCGGCAGGGGACAGCGACAGGACGGGATACCTGGGGCCGCGCGGGGCAGGTGTGGGCGGGGACGCGGCCGGACGAGAGCGACGTCCACGCGGATACGAGCGCGCCCGCCCCCGGGCCTGATTGGACGGAGCTCCGGCAGCCCGCGCCCTGATTGGACGGTGCTTTGGGCCGTCCCACAGCCTCGGCTCCTTATTGGCCGGTTTCCCGAGACCCTCCACCTCGGGCAGGGAGGCCCCTCCTCCTCCTGGACTCGGAAGTCCTGACTCAGTTTCCGCAGCCGGCGCGCGGCGTCTGGAGCTAAAACTGGACAAACGGGGGTGGGTCGGTCTGGTGACGTCCGGGGTCAGGAGTCGGCTCCTGGGGAAGTCACCGTTCGTCTGTGCCCTTTAAGAACACAGACAATGACCTGAGCAGGACAGTGTCCGGGTCGGTTTTGACAGACGACCTTTAACACCGTAGGCCCCGCCCATCCTCCCCGCCTCCACGTGGGGGCCTGAGGTCACACCGGGGGCTCCGGGTCCTCTTCCCCGTGGGAAGGGGGACCCGCGGGCCCAGCCTGCGCGCAGGACTGTCCCGGCCCCTCCACCGTCGGGGACGTTAGAATCCTCACGTGTGCGTTTACTGCCAGGAAACGTTCTTTAGATCCGTTTGTGTGTGTCTGGTCTCGGGAACATAGAAAGGAAAAATTCACTATAATTCAAACAGCAGGTACTTGGGCAATTAGAATTATAACTCGGGAGACACGGATTCAGGTAGAAACCTGTCCACGAAAATAATCCATAACCAATCTATAGATGAAAATTTGGGTGAGTTTATTCTGAGCCACAATGTGAGGACCGTGACCCAGGGCCTTTCTTCCCAAAGGAAGAAAGGGCACCAAAGAAGTGGGGTGCACAGAGTGGTTATGTACCCCCAGAGAGCATGTTTCACATAGGATTGAAATGTCCCTTTTGCAACAGTCACGAGACTGCTCTGTGGGCACAGCAGGTGGCAGGTCTGCTGTCTCCAGCTGGGTGGTCACAGGTGAGCACACCTGTGTTCCTAGCCCGAGGAAAGATGCTTATCCTTAAGGAAATGCCAACGTGGGGGGACGTTGCACCTTTGTCTTAAGGGCCTTTGTTCTTGGCTTTGGGACACAGCAAATATTTAAGCAGAAATACCATGCGTGCTCAACGGCCATGTCAAGCCCTTTTGGAAAAACAAGTCAGGCAGAATTAGGTTTCCACCGAATGGCTTCCTCATAGACTCCAATATATGCTATTGCTCGCCGTTTCTATTTGTCAGGTTAAAGAGTTCTAATATGTGTGATTAAAGCTACCAGAAATTAATAAGGAAAACATATTTGTATTCCAGGAAAGTAAGGTGTAAGTTTTCAGTAAAGAAGCTACAAAGAATGGACATATTTTGTTTGGTTGGTTAAGAAAAATAAAATTTGTCCTAAAGTTCTATCAGGGAAAAAGAAAGGCAGGGGACAAATTCTGAATGTAAAAGAAAGTTCTAGAAGGTTTGTGAAAGAGAAATTCTGAAAAGAGTTTTACGCATGGTCAAGCTGGCTAAGATTGAAATGAATCTAATTAAGTAAATGGGTTTTAGGATGAAAAAGTAAACTGGTACCAAAGTTAGAATTTCACTTTCTCTCTTAAAAGGATAATTTTCTTAAATTCTTAGTCTGCTCTTGATAAGGAGGTTATAAAAGGTTTTTCCTTCTAAGTTTACCTAAAGGACAGAAGATCGATGTTTTGGTAAGATAATTTCCTATGTGCAAAAAGACAGAGGTCTCTATTAAGGTTTTTGCCGTTTCTGTTGTCACTTTGGTTAAATATTATTCAAAACATTGTTTCAGTGACCCTTGTTTCACCGTGACAAGATCAGCAACCCCTTGATCTTGTTTCAATAAATGTTTTAAAACCTTTTGACATTTTTGACAAGCTTCTCCCTCAAAAAAAAAATTCAAGTCCTGAATAAAGGCTTTCCTTTGACTTTGGAGGAAGGAAGAGAATTTCTCTGAGGATTCTCAGAGGGCCCCTGGGACTTCTCAGAGAAATTTGCTCTCTCTTCCTATGAAGGAGGGATACTCATTAGGCTCGTTTGGTGCTAAATTGCATGAGAAGCATTGTCAAGTAAGTGATGACAAACCTTAGGTTCCATTGTGCAGGTAAATATTACTCACTATTTTAACCCTGCTACGTTGCTTCCAACATCACAAGGGGAGAAGACCACGCCTGCATTCTATTGTTTAATTTGGTTTACAGATGGGTCTTACTTAAACCATAAGCAAGGATGTTATCAAGCTGGAGATGCTGTCCAGCCTTGAATGCCGTCTACTTTCTGATGTGGGGTCGGTGAGCCGAGGATTCGAAAGAAAGATTTCTTAGACTCTTAAGATCTGGCAGTAGTGCTCTTTTATTTAGAGAATAGTGTGGAATAGCATGGGGACAGGACCCATGGGCAGTCAGAGCTCCTGCTGCTGCCCTATGAAGACATTAAATGATATGCAACATAGCCTTTTGCTGCTCGATTTAGAAGTGTCCCAAATGCGTAAGGCAGTCCTCCAAAACAGAATGGCACTGGAGGTCTTGACAGCAGCACAGGAGGGCACTTGTGCCATTATAAAAACTGAATGTTGTGTTTATATTCCTGACTACCATCAAAATATCTCAGGCTTCCTATCTGATATGAGCCACCAAATTAAATCCATGTCTGACCCTACCCTGTCTCTAAACGATTGGTTGAACTCCTGGTCAGGACCAAGTTTCTGGACTACTATCAAAACCTTAGTCATTGGGTTAATCATCTTGCTCGTATTTCTTATTATAATTTGTTGTCTATTTCATTGTTTGTCTTCCGCATGTCAACAAAGTCTCACCTCCTGGACCACCTCTCGTCAAATGATTCTCTCGTCTCCAGAGGCTCTGGATGCCTTGTCAGCCTTGGACTCCACGGGCACAGCCTTCCGGTCCGCTGAACCTCCTACCTATACCTATGGCCCCATTTAGGGACAGCTCTGCGACCTCGTACAGCCAGAAGTAGTTACAGAAGAGTGACCATGGTCCATATCCCCAAAAGATTTCGGGGCCAAATGGGTTCAGGGGGGGTTGATGATGTGGATTAAGGCTGCCCCAGCTAGAGAAGCCCAAGGTGACCTGGCCTACATGCCAAACTATATGACCCAATGGACTTTTTTTATGGTATGAATTAGGACCGCCCCAGGGAGAGAAGCCCAGGGCATCCTCACCTACAAGCCGATCTATGTGACCAGATTCGTGTCTAAAGTTATATGACTGCACAATAACCAGACCCCATCTGCACTGAAATCATTTAATGACTTTTTACATCATCTTTTCTCTTTCCAGTAAAAATAAGTCACATACCCATGCCTTATAAAATTAGCCTTAACCCTCAACTCAGGGCAGCAGCAGGAGCTCTGACTGCCCATGGGTCCTGTCCCCATGCTATTCCACACTATTCTCTAAATAAAAGAGCACTACTGCCAGATCTTGAGAGTCCAAGAAACTTTCTTTCGACTCCTGGGCTCACCGACCCCGCATCACTTTCTATTAACTGCACTAACCCAGTAAAAGATTTCCTTCTATAGGCTCAGAAAATTGCTATGGAAGAAAAATAAAACAAATTAAAATATATATAGTTGCAACAAAAGGGAAAAACAATACTTTTGGAAACTTTCTCCCAGTGGCTCATATGGCCTCTACTTGTGCTATGTGCCCAAATCCAGAGAAGCCACTTCATGAGTCACAAGGCCACTTTCCCTTCCTTAGGGACCTTTTGAGGTATGACAATTGGACTTTGTCCAAATGCCACCATCTCAAGGATAAATATATCTTATAATGATCATTGTTTTGAGGCTTTTCCTGGAAGAAGAGCGATGGCTTTCAATAAATTATTATTGAAAAGGATAATTGCTGTTTGAGGAATTCCTCCCGAGTTACACAGTGACTGGGAAACTCATTTCACCGGATAAATAATTGAATCTATTTGTAACGTTTGGTATATATTGCAGCATTTCCACTGTGCTTACCATCCTCGATCCTCAGGATTGGTAAAACAACTAACGGCACAACCAAAACTTAGCTGGCAAAGCTTTCCTAAGCCTTTACTCTCTGATGGCCAAAAGCTCTTGTGCTCGTGCTCCTTAATCTTAGATCTACACTTTTTGTAAACATCGGCTGTCTCCTTTTGAAATAATAAAACAGCCTGTGCAATTAGATGAAGAAATATATGAACCAGCTTTGCTTAAGGGGTATATTACATTGTTGTCGTGGTCTTATTGTGCTGAACAGAATTGAAAGACTGGTAGCTGATTCTTTCACAGAGCTCCCAGAACTTAAGGATCTTGGACCATAACCTGGAGAATTTGTTTATTGAAAGAGACAGCAAATAAAAGACTCTTTGCAGGCCAGTTGGAAAGGACCACACCAGGAGGAGAAGAAGACGGCATCTGCTGTAGACAGCTGTCCCAACGCTCCGGACCAGGCCTGTATTCCAACCTTCTATCTCCTCATTTAAACATTTGTTGTGCCTAAGTTGCGTACCTATTTACAATTTGTTTGGAATGCTATCATACTTACAGTGACTAATTTGGAACAGACTGAACTTGAAGGCCAGGCATTTATGGAGTGAGTCCTAACGGAACTCAGTGGTCATGTGGAACAAATCTCTCGCCTTGGCTACTGCCTGGATGGCTAAGACACTGCACCCTGAGTTTCCTTTAAACACAGGGAAGGAGTCAGGCTGCGTTAAAACCTGTTGCCAACCTCCCTCTCTTTAAGGCCGGATGGGCTTGTTCAGTGTTCCACTGCTATGGCTGTATTTGCAGCTATATTTGCTGCTTCTTTGGGGCTAAAAGATGTCATTATTACATATGGAAGATCTGACTAAATTTACTCAAGAAGCCCTTAATGATAGTCAAGCAGGAATAGTCTTATTCAAATACTGAAATGTCTTTAATGCGAAGGGCTGTCCTTCCAAACAGAATGGCTTTAAATATTGTTACTGCATCCCAAGGTGGTACATATACAGCCATTCAGACTGGATGCTGTGCTTTTATACCTGATGAGTCTTCCAACGTGTCATCTCTGCTAAAGCACACGAAGAAGCAGGTGGATGCCTTATGCGATCCGACACCCAGTTTGATTTGTTTGGTTGGCTCCCTTTCAGTATCGGTTCCCTTTTTCGATCTGGATTGCAATTCCTATTTCTATTACTTCTTGGAATTCTTGTGCTAGTCATACTATTCAAACTAATTGTTGTTTTCTTTAATCAGTGCTGTAAAAATAGCATACAAACTACAGTAATGGTTGCTTGGTGCCTCCAGATGGTTGGCCTATCTTATAACCCTGGACAAATTGCGTTTTCTGATAAAAACTATGCGTAAGAACTCATTTTATTTTTTTTATTTTTTTTTAAAGATTTTATTTTTTTCCTTTTTCTCCCCAAAGCCCCCCAGTACATAGTTGTATATCCTTCATTGTGGGCCCTTCTAGTTGTGGCATGTGGGACGCTGCCTCAGCGTGGTCTGATGAGCAGTGCCATGTCCGCACCCAGGATTCGAACCAACAAAACCCTGGGCCGCCTGCAGCGGAGCGCGCGAACTTAACCACGCGGCCACGGGGCCAGCCCCAGAACTCATTTTAAACTGTTTTCAAATATGTTGAAGTCTTATCATTCTTACTGTACTTGTTCTATGATCATATGCAACGTAAACGTGAAGAGTCATAGAGAAGCACATACACAATGTCTGTGCAACAATCTAAAATTAATTGGAAATTACATGACCTATGAGATGCTTCCTCTGTTAATACATATACCTCTATGCTTATCCTCTATTT